TTCAATCTTCGGCCTGATCTAATCTACTTTTAATACTTTCAAGGGAGGTTTTGATTTCTTGTATCACATTCTTCAACCCTTGAAGTTCCACCTGGTTCTTGTTTAAGGTATCTATTTCTTCTTTCAAATCATAAAAGGACTTCCTCATCTTCTGGAGTTCCTTATTTCTTTTCTCTTCCATCTTGGTTAGTTTGGTCACTACAAATATTCTGAATTCCTTATCAGATATGTCCATGACATCCATTGCATAGACTGTGGTGATGTAGCTTGATAATTTACCTTGGGGGAGAGGCGTTTCGTTGGTTACTCATACTTCTTGAGCCTCAGCGATTGTTCCTAGTCATCAGGTGTTCTATATGTTGCTTCCTAACTTTTTTAAGGTATCTCTGAGTGTTAAAAGGTGTACAGAATTAGAAAACTGATGATTTGTCTTCCGGTTGGCCCACCTGTTGCTCACCAGTACCATGTACTGTTGTCACTGGTCCTGGGTGGTCCAAAGTCCTCCCTGTTTCTAAGGAGTGGTGATCCTCCAACTGACCTAATAAACACCTCAAGAGCAAAAAAACCCAACCAACCTAACAAAATATCATGTGACATGCAACGTGTGCTGCACGCTGAAGTCCAGAGATGAGAAGTGTGGATGTGTAATGGTTCTGAGTAGAATGGTTTTTAGCCACAGGCAGCCTGGTGTCCGGAATTCTTGGCCACCTCGATCTGGATTGCAGGTGGGGCCTAGGGAGGTGAGAGGTGGTCTTAAAGTCCCAAGAAACCAAACTGAAGTACAGAGATGAGACGGGGTGGGGCTGTGCAACGGTCCTGGCAGGAAGGGCCTGCAGCCACAGGCAGACTGGTGTCCAGAACTGTTGGCCAGCTCAGTCTGGTTTGCAGTTGTGCTGTGGGTGGGTGCGACTTCACCTTAAACTCTCAAGGAATCAACCTGAAGTCCAGAGATGAGAAGGGGTGGGGATGCGGAATGGTCCTGGGCAGAAGGTCCTGCAGTCATGGGCAGCCTGGTGTCCGGAACTGATGGTCAGCTTGATCTGGATTGCAGGTGAGTACGTCTTAAAGCCCCAAGAAACCAACCTGAAGCCCAGAGATAAGAAGGAGTGGGGATGTGCAATGGTCCTGGGTAGAAGGGCCTGCAGTCACAGGCAGCCTGGTGTCTGGAACTGCTGGCTGACTCAATCTGGTTTGCAGGTGGAGTGGGGGGAGGGGGTGTGCGAGTTCATCTTAAACTCCCAAGGAAGCAACCTGAAATCCAGAGACAAGAAAGGGTGGGGATGAGCAACAGTTCTGAGTGGAAGAACCTGCAGCTGCAGGCAGCCTGGAATCCTGAACTGCTGGCCGGCTCGATCTGGTTTGCAGGTGTCGGGGGGAGCAAGTTGGTCTTAAAGTCCCAAGGAACCAACCTGAAGTCCAGAGATGAGAAGGGGTGAGGAAGCACAATGTTCCCAAGTGGAAGGGCTTGCATCTGCAGGCAGCCAGGTGTCTGGAACTGCTGGCTGGCTTGATCCGGTTTTCAGGTTGGCTGGGTGGGGATTCAAGTTCATCTTAAAGTTCCAAAGAACCAATCTGAAATCTAGAGATGAGAAGGGGTGGGGATGCACAATGGGTCTCGGGTGGAAAGGCCTGCAGCCGCTGACAGCTTGTTGTCTGGAACTGCTGGCTGGCTCGATCCAGTTTGCAGGTGAGGCAGGGGTGTGAATTCATCTTAAAGTCCCAAAAATCCAACCTGAAGTCCAGAGATGAGAAGGGGTGGGGATGCGTTATGACCTCGGGCAGAAGGGCCTGCAGTCGCAGGCAGTCTAGTGTCCAGAACTGCTGTTCAGCTTGATCCATTTTGCAGATGGGATGTGGGGAATGTGAGTTTGTCTTAATGTCTCCAGGAACCAACCTGAAGTCTGGAGATGAGAAGGTGTGGGGATGGGCAATGATCCTGGGCAGAAAGACCTGCAGCCGCAGGCAGCCTGGTGTCCAGAACTGCTGGCCAGTTTGACCTGGTTTGCATGTGGGGTTTGGTGGGGTGTGAGTTTGTCTTAAAGTCCCAAATAACCAACCTGAAGTCCAGATACGAGAAGGAGTGGGGATGCACAATGGTCCCAGGTGGAAAGGCCTCCAGCAGAAGGCAGCCTGGGGTCTGGAACTGCTGGCTGGCTTGATCTGGTTTGCAGCTGGGGTGGGGGTGTGAGTTCATCTTAAATTTCCAAGGAACCAACCTGAAGTCCAGAGACAAGAACTAGTGAGGATGTGCAACGGTCCTGGGCAGAAGAGCCTGCATCTGCAGGAAGCCTGGTGTCGGAACTGCTGGCCGGCTTGATCTGGTTTGCAGGTGGCGTGCGGGGAGTGCGAGTTTGTCTTTAAGTCCCAAGGTACCAACGTGAAGCTCAGAAATGAGGAGAGGTGGGGATGCACAAGGGTCCTGGTCAGAAGGGCCTGCAGCTGAAGGCAGCCTAGTGACTGGAACTTCTGGCCGGCTTGATCCATTTTGCAGGTGGGATGTAGGGGGTGCGAGATCATCTTAACATCTCCAGGAACCAACCTGAAGTCCAGAGATGAGAAGGTATGGGGATTAGCAATGGTCCCGGGTGGAAGGGCCTGGGGCCGCAGGCAGCCTGGTGTCCAGAACTGCTGGCCGGCTTGATTTGGTTTGCAGTTCAGGTGGGTGGGGGTGCGAGTTTATCTTAAAGTGCCAAGGAACCAATCTGAAGCCCAGAGTCAAGAAGGGGTGGGGATACGCAATAGTTCTGGATGGAAAACTGACAGCTGCAGGCAGCCTGGTGTCCAGAACTGCTGGCCAGCTCGATTTGGTTTGCAGGTGGGGGTGGGGAGGGGTGAGAGTTCATCTTAAAGTCCCATGAAACCAACCTGAAATCCAGAGACGAGAAGGGGTGGGGATGCACAATGGTCCTGGGCGCAAAGGCATGCAGTCGAAGGCAGCTAGATGTCCAGAACAACTTGCTGGCTCAATTTGGTTTTCAGGTGTGGTGGGAGGGGGATACGAGTTCATCTTAAAGTGCCAAGGAATTAACCTGAAGTCCAGAGTTGAGAAGGGGTGGGGATGTGCAATGGTCCCAGGTGGAAGGGCTTGCAGCTGCAGGTAGCCTGGTGTCCGGAACTACTTGCCGGCTTGATCAAGTTTG